CATATCGCCTGATTTTCGCTCGCCAGTATTCGCGGGATCGCGTTAGTTTTTCTATTGATGTAGCCAACGTTTCACGTGGCTCTCTCATGATCGCTAAGCTACAGGTATCATGCGGATTGCTTGCCGTGTTTAGGTTCCTATAGCGTGTTTGCCTTCTCGAAGCTCGAAGCCTCGAGAAGGAGAAAATATTAGGGAGTTTAAATTATCTTAACTGATAAATTGTTCAACCACCCGCTGGCAATCCGCAACATCCCGCTCGCCTTGAAACTTTAGTTTCAATTTAATTCTGGAGAAGCATTGATCTTGAAAGGCGATTGGAGATTTTACTTGACCTTCTCCGCCCGCCCTGGGGTGGTGTGACATGTATGAACTCTTAATCTACTATACATTAACTTTACTCCACTTGAGTATGGGTACGGACATTCGTATAACTAAACTAAATTATAAACAACGATGAATTTTCCTTAAGATTAAATTATGTTTCAATGTGCGTCTAGAACTATCGCTAGGGCTGATTTTATTCGGTGGTTGGTCTTGAGCTGGAGGCGCGATATGATTTGGAGTGACGTTTGCTACATTATTGTACTGGCGGAGTTTTCACGTCGCTCGTTTGCTCGTCGCGGCGGAGCTCAGAGTCTTCGCATGCTGGGTCGCATGTTTCGATAGGAAGGACGCACAACTTCACTATCGGGCGCTTGAATTCAGATTGTGCGGTTCGCACAGACACGACGCGAACCAAACCGTCAGGACCTTTAAAGATCTTTGTTACTCTACCCAATTCCCATTTACAGGGAGGTAGTAGCGCGTTTCTTAAAAGTACCATTGTGCCGACCTTGATTGATTCGCGTTCCGTTCGCCACTTTCCTCGCTGTTGTAACGTATTTATATAGTCGGACTGCCAAAGTCGCCAAAATCTCTCCGCGATCTGACGCACGAGCTGCCATCGAGACAACCGATTTTCTGCGACTGCAAGAACAGACGGCTCGGGATTGACGGTGATCGCGGAACCGATGAGCAGATGACCCGGAGTGAGGGGGGCGAAATCGTCAATTGTGTCGGTCAGAGGACCGATTGGTCGCGAATTTAAGCAAGCTTCTATCCGACATAAGAACGTCGACAGCTCTTCGAATGTAAGCGTGTGCGCTCCGAGAACGCGGCGCAAATGATATTTTACGCTTCGCACTCCGGCTTCCCAAAGCCCCCCGAAATGCGGAGCATGAGGGGGGATGAATTCCCATTTGATTTTATCGGCGGCCGTTTGGTTAAGAAAGTCTGGATTTCTTATCGCGTGATTATATGCTTGTTGCAACTCCCGGTCGGCTCCGGTAAAAGTAGTGCCATTATCGGAATAGACTACGGACGGCAATCCACGACGGGCGCAGAATCGCGAAAACGCGTCTAGGAATGAGGAGGTGGAGTAGCTCGTAACCAACTCAAGATGTATTGCTCGAGAGGCGAGGCAGACGAATAATGATATGTAACCTTTATGTGACTTGTGCCCTCGGCCGGAGGAAGTCCGAATGGCGATTGGCCCGGCGTAATCAAGGCCGCAATGGGAAAATGCCCGAGGGAGAGCCGAGACTCGTGCGGCCGGCAACTGTCCCATTAACTGCTCAGGTACCGCAGCTCTCTCCCGGGTGCATGTAGCGCACTGAAAAATGATACGTTTAACTATCTGTCGGGCTCGGAGTATCCAGTACTCTTGGCGTAGCGCAGCTAACGTTAGTTGCAGACCTGCGTGACAGTGTTTTAAATGCGTGTATCGAACGATTAAATCCACGACGAGATGCGCGCCCAGTAGCGCGGGATGTTTTTTCTCATAGGCTACGGGAGCGTGCAGTAGCCGCCTGCCGACGCGAATGACGGAGTCGCTGTCGAGGAACGGACTTAGTGAGCTGATTTCGCTCTTAGCCGCGGGAGCTTGACCGAGTTTTAATTTGGCTATTTCAAGTGCGAAACGATCGGCTTGAATTTGCTGAATCCAGAATCTTTGAGCATGCGTGATTTCGATTGACGTGAGAGCTTTCGAGCGCGCTGGATAGATGTTGAACTGCTTATCGTGTTTGCGGCAATTGTTAACAAATCGTTGTATATAAGCGGTCACTCGTAAGAGTTTTGTCCAGCTGGAATAACGTGAAGCTAACTCCCATGTTTCGTTCAATTTTGCACAATGTGAAGTGGTTGGTTTTGCCTCGTCGCTAACATGCGTTATGGGTTCTGGACTTTGAGAGGGCCAGTCGTCGGGATTTAAGTGTAACCAGGAAAGTCCTTGCCACCACAATCCAAAGGATGGCAACTCGTGTCCGAGCAGTCCGCGGGAAGCGCAGTCCGCGGGGTTTTCGTGCGTCGACACGTATCGCCATTGCGCGTTTTGAGCTCGAGTTTGAATCTCCGCGACTCGATTGGAAACGAATGTTTTCCATTTAGACGGGTGAGATTGAATCCATGCCAGAGCAACAGTCGAATCTGTCCAGCAGTAGGATTTCACTGACGGAATGTGTAAGGATTCTTGAATAAACTCCAAGATGCGGGTGAGCAGCGTGGCTGCGGATAATTCGAGTCTCGGGACGCTGACAGTTTTGAGAGGCGCTACCTTTGATTTGGCTATAAGTAGCCGTACAGTAATTTCACCAGCGATCGACACTACTCGCGAATAGACGACGGCAGCGTATGCTACTGTTGATGCGTCGGCGAATCCGTGAAGTTGAAATTCTGCCGTATCCGCGCCGCGACCGGTCCATCGATCGATTTGTAACCCATTCAAATGTGAGAGATTTCGGTAAATGTTTTCCCATTTATTCAGAGCAAGTACAGGAACAGTGTCGTCCCATTGAATTTGAAGTCGCCACAATGATTTCATGAATATTTTTGCGGTTATCGTCACGGGAGTGACCCAACCGAGTGGGTCAAATAGTTTTGCGATTGCGGAGAGAATTGTACGCTTCGTGCGTGGCGTAGCTTCGAGCGGTGATACGCGGAATTGAAACGAATTGAGCGCGGGGGCCCAAGAAATACCGAGAATGTTGAGATTGTCGTCGAGCTTGAGTTCTCGATTACAAGCGAGGCCGTGATCTTCCTCGGAGATGTCCGCGAGCAGGCTCGATCGGTTACTCGCCCACTTGCGAAGGGTGAATCCGCCTTTTGCGAAAAGGGCGCACACCTGTTCACGCGAGCGACGCAACAGAGGAACATCCTCGGCTCCGAAAAGGACGTCATCGACGTAAACGTCATATTGCAAAATTGGAGCAGCGAGTGGGAACGAACCGCCTTCGTCGCCAATAAGTTGTTTTAACACGCGAAGCGCGAGGAACGGAGCAGCTGTGGTTCCGTATGTTACGGTTAAAAGTTAATACTCCTGCAATTCGTCCGAATCGTTGACCCATAAAATTCGTTGGTAATCGCGGTCGCGTGAATCGATCCATATTTGTCGATACATTTTCGCGACGTCTGCGGTATACACGTATTTGTGCTGTCGCCATCGCAATAACACGGCCGTTAGTTCGTTTTGCAATTTTGGACCCGCGAGCAAGTGAGAATTAAGGGAGGTGTTATTGGTGGTGAGGCTCGATGCGTTAAACACAACGCGTACTCTGGTGGTCACGCTTGTCTCGCGAATGACCGCGTGATGGGGGATGTAGGCGATCTGACCGTCCGCGGACGTTGGAGACGAAACCGCTTGCATGTGATTCAACTGTTCGTATTCGCGAAGGAATTCAGCGTACTCTAATTTTAACTCGGAGTTGATGCTTAATCGCCGCTGTAAGGCGGCGAGCTTTCTTACTGCGATTGCGCGCGATTCGCCAATCTCGATAGGAGGCCCTGTCTTAAAGGGCAAGCGAACAATGTATCTCCCGTCGGGAGCGCGCGAATGAGTGGCTTGAAAGTGATCCTCCGCTCGTTGATCGTCTGGCGAAAGAATTCTGCGCGGTGGGATTTCCTCTATCTCCCAAAATTTTTTGAGTGCGTCCTCGAGGGCGCAGTGAAAGGCACGAATATGCTGCGCGGGGGCGGTCTGTGCGGACATCGGCCCGGAAATTATCCACCCGAGGTGGGAGTTTTGCGCGATCGGCTGATCAGCCGCTCCCTTTCGTACACCGCTTAAAATCACAAAGCCGTAAAGGTCGGCTCCGATGATGAGTTCAATTGGCTCGGATCCGGTAGGGTTGTCGTCGGCATGTTGTAAGTTTTGTAAATGTGCCCAGTTCGAGATACCGGTCAACCGTGGAGGATTGTATTTAGTGAGCGATGGCATAATAAAGGCTACCGTCGAGAACGTCGGACTCAATCGGTCGCGAGAATGGAATTTTATGTCTGTAGCATAGCGACACGTACCGACGCTCGAACCCCCGATCGCGAAGATCGTAGTTAACGTTCGTCTCCGAGGCAGTCTCAAAATCTGTGTAATTTTGTGAGTGACAAATGTCACCTCCGAACCTTGGTCCAGGAGCGCCCTGACGGCTAGTTCGCGCCCCGTCGGCGACTTGAGTATCACGCGCGCGGTAGCGAGCAATACGGGGGACGGAACGGCGCTCGCGGAGACGGCTGACATCGCGACAACAGAGGACGGCGCTTCGCTGCCCGTTTCTGGAGTCGACTCTTCGCTGACGGCTTGACTTACGCTTGAGACGTGGCTTGCGCTATTTCTTGGAGAACCAGAGTCAATGTGAAGGAGAGAATGATGCCGCTTCTGACACACCCGACATGAGAATTTGCTTGGGCAATCCGGAGCAGAATGCTTCGTACCGAGGCAATTAAAACAACGATTTAACTGTTTGATATATTCTCGACGTTGGCTCTGGTTCTTTTTTAGAAATTGGTCGCATTGATACAACGCGTGGGATTCTTTGCAGAGAACACAGCGCTTGTAATTCTCGGTAGCGGTCGCATTGTTTGATCGCACTTGACGGTGCGCTTTCAGAGGCGCGGGATCTAATTCTTCGAGAGCGAGTGCGCGTGAGGAAATGAACTCTTTCAAGGCTTCGTAATTCGGAGGATTATCGTCACTGCAACATTTTAACTTCCATGCGCGACGGGTGGACGCGTCGAGTTTTAAAGTTACGAAATAATTCAGTATATCACTCAATAGCTCCGCGTCTGATCGACCCAACGATTTTAATGCGGCGACAGATTTACTGGCCCTATCCCGCAAAGCGTGTAATTCGACGGCACTCTCTCGCGACATGGCTGGCAAATTATATAGGGCGGCAACATGAACGTCAATTAGTTTACGTTTATTTTCAAATCGAGCTTTAAGAGCGGACCACGCGACCGGAAAATTGTCGGCTGTAATTGCAAGACTGGAAATGGTATCTAACGCGGATCCAGCTAAACTGGATGCGAGAAAATGCATTCGAGTACAATTTGAAAGATCCTTATTTTCAATATAAGCGCGGTAAATCTGTCTCTGAAACTTTCCCATTCGTGAAAGCCTCCCGTGAACGGCGGTAATTTAATCGGCGGTAAATGCTGGAGTGATAACGCGGATGTTTTGTTTCGCGGAATCGACTGATTAAGCGCAGTTGAATGGTGCGGACTCACGGATGGCTCGATTTCCTCGAGCCATTCGTTCATCAGATCCAGCGTTGCCTGGTAGATTTCCTCGTGGTTTTTCAGCTGATCTTCCTGGAAGTACTCGAATTGGGCCCTGTCCTTTTGTGGGACGAGGCTCAGCAAAACGGCGTGTCCGTGAAGGCAGTGGTTCCACGTTTCCTTCACCGAGGCAATTCTGGAGCGGACTTTAGCTGCGGTGTAATTGTTGCGTCCAACCTTCTTAAAGTTGTCGGCTGAACGCGATAACACTCGCAGGAGCTCAGTCTGTTTGATGATTTGTTCACTCATTTCACTGCTTTTCGCGTTCTGGAGTAACGGACAAATGCACCGCGAATTCGAGGGCTTCAATCAACCCTTCGGTGGTTGCTTGACTTGACCACGTATTCACCGAGTGATCAATTGCCTGGGGTGATTTGCACGACGTGTCCTGCACACGATGTTACGCGCACAATTTGCGCGTCACTATTATATTACTGGATTTTCTTGCTCTTGTCACTTGTTCTCTTGTCCGTAACTGTTTATCTAGTCCGTAACACACAACTTCGATCCGGCTCGAAGGACCAGAAAATGTTTGTTTTACAAGTTCATTTTCATTTTATTTTTCGCCGGTACTGCGCGCCGATCGGCACGCCGAAGGTTGTGCGTCGTGGTCTCGCCTCTAGAGGTGCCGGATGG